CCACTAATACAGGTGTTCATGCGTCTTGTATCAATGTGTTATTATATAATAACTGAATCTGAATGAAATAATAATAAAGATTAAAAACAACATCCATGTTTTGATTTTTTTTATTTGGACCTTGAGTGTGTAGTCGGCCCCCGAACTGCTGTTTGATAGTTAATGCGGCCCTCGGGCTGAAAATTTTGGAGACCCCTGCCGTAGTACTACCTCAAGTTTCATTCATAAGAGTTTGCCGTGTGCAAAAACTATTAACACCATTGGTCAGGAAAAGCTTTAGTTAATTAGTCGTGCCAAAGTTGAAAGTTCAAAATAAGTAGATCCATACAATATTTTTGGGGGTGTGTTGCCTTATATAGACTATACAGCATATACCGGTATAATGGACGCTGTCGCTGTAGATTTGGTAAACAGAAAAGCCATATATTTTGTTAAATTTATTGTTATACATAGTGCATAGTTAGATAAACTATAATTTATATATAATTGTATAATATTATTAAAATTATTTAATACAGAATTAGTTCTGAAAATAAAAGTCGCATAAAATTATCATTAAACCGAGAGTTATTTAGCTCGTGACTCGAACAGCGGAATCAGGTCACAGAATGTGGAGGTGCATTCCATGTTAAAAAATGACAAACCAAGTCGTAGGCCTACTTTAAAAATTCATAACTTTAAAACTACAATAGCTAAAAATATGATTTTGGTTTTATAATTCTGTTAAAAATTAGCTCTATTCAACTACGCCATTGGTTTATTTTTAAACAAAGTTTGAATTTTCTTATCAAAGTACCTATAGTTCTGAACTTAATCGGTACTTTGTGCACTTTCACTTATCAAAGTAGCTGTTGGTTTTGTGCAGCCTTAATTTTCTACCTACAATGCCTACAATTCAATAACATTTCTAAAGTCTTAAAGTAAAATCAATGGTTGACAATGATCAATGACAATGCAAATGTATTGTGATAATGAATGGGAATGATTTCAATCTTTTCAGTTTTTGTTTTAAAACTATTTATTTACCTGATTTACCTTTCAGTTCAGCCATGGTTGTAGTTGCAGTTGTAGCTAGTCTAAGCTAGACTTGAGTCTTGAGCAAACCGGTCTAAACCTCATACTTCGATTCCCCCCAAAAAAGCTGACTATACCTACTTCGACTAAGTAGTCTCATGATGTTAATAGGTTAAATTTGGAATATCCGCGCCATTACATTTCACGCGGCCGCCATCTAGGTTACAACGGCCCGTGTTTGCGTGCATGAAAGGCCACGGTGAACGGTCACGAGTCGTGCTCAGGGCTGCCACTCACTTTTTTAAAATTTCCCAAGATTTGGTCATGAAATTTCCCAAGATCATAATAATTAGCATATAGGAGTTCTTTTTTTAAAGTGGGCGGGTGGGGGAGGGAGGGGGGGGGAGGGAGTTTCCTATGTCCTTAATGTAATAATAGATTGAATTAATGCCCCTGAAACACATGGTACAATAATTGACTGAAATTTATTGAAAATGACATTTTAAAAAAATGCTTTTTATCACATAAAAGAAATAAACAATTTTTAAAAAAAAAATATATAATATTTTATTATCCAAAATATCAATACCCACTGTAAGTTAGGCTACTAAATGTTGCCTCCAAAATAGGGACCTATATTCCACATTTATGAATAAAGCTTTTGACATGGTCAGCAAATATGGCCTGTGGAAAATCATGAAGACGTATGGATGCCCAGGCAAGTTCACCAATATCATCGGTCAGCTGCATGATGACCCGAGTTCATGACACCGGTCAGTCATTCTCAAGCATTCCTTGTCACAAACGGTGTGAAGCAGGGCTGTGTCCTGGCTCCCACACTCTTCAGTATCATGTATTCTGCAATGCTGTCTGGTTCGTTCAAGGACTCGTCCACGGGCTGGCAAATCTTCTTCCGCGCCGATGGATCAGTCTTCAAATTTGGAGGCTTCAAGCAAAAACCAAGGTCAAACTTCACACCATCAACGAGCTTCTGTTTGCGGACGACTGTGCCCTCAACGCTGCCTCAGAAGCCGACATTTCGTTGATTTCTTCTTTGAGGCCTGCAAAACAACGTTGGCCTCACAATCAACACAAAGAAAACTGAAGTGATGTATCAGTCAGCACCCAGGAAGCCCTAGGTTGAACCCAACATTACCATCATCGGACAGCATCTTAACGCGGTGGACAAATTAATTACCTAGGCAGCACCCTTTCCAGATCTGTCGTCATGGCTGACGAAATGAATGCCAGACTCACTAAAGCTAGTGCAATATTTGGCAGACTCCATAGCACTGTTTGGGACAGAAGAGGTATCAGACGCGAAACAAAGATCAAGGTATATAGCGCAGCAGTCCTCTCGACATTGCTCTACGGAAGTGAAATGTGGACAGTCTACCAGCCTCACCCCACGAAACTAAAACCACTTCCACACAACCTGCCTCAGTAAACTCCTCGGCATCAGGTGGCCTAACATGGACGTACTCGCTAGAGCGAACCTATCTAGCATCTTCACCACGCTGATGCAGTCTCAACTCCCTTGGACAGGACATGTAGCTCGTATGGAAGACAACCGGCTTCCTAAGCAGCTATTCTTCGGTGAAATCACGCTAGGCAAGCGCTCCCAAGGAGGTCAAAGAAAGCGAGACAAAGACACACTAAAAGCAGCACTAAAGGCCTATTGAATGGGTGCAGACAGCCCAGGATAGAGTCAATTGGCGATCAGCTGTCAAGAAAAGGGTTCAATCTCATGAAGCAAGAAGGATAGCGACAGCTGAGAAACGCAGGTTAACCCGAAAAATCAGCCTTAGACCACCGACTTCTGCAACTATTCCCTGCCCGCGGTGCCAAAGACTATTCCGAGCACGGATCGGACTAGCAAGCCACCTACGAACATACCGTGACCAACCCACCCCCAACCCAACGACTAGATGGTCATTGTCGATTTGACCGACGAACAACAGATTTAAATAAAAGTTTTATTTATTTTATAACTTTATTTAATTATGCCTAGGTGTCATACCTAACCAGAAGTGGGTTTAGACAACTTTAAATATGAAAGTATCTCTTGTTCTAGACATCTGTAGAGCCTGTAGAGCCATCCGTGCAGGGCGGTGTAAAGGTGGTACTCACCAGGGGCGTCAATAGCCTGGGGCATCATTACCAAGGGGGCGCATTTTCTATACACTAGGGGCTGTAAGTTCAGGTTTGGCCCAGGGCGCCGCTTTTCCTTTACTGCCTCCATTACGGACTTAACACATCCAGAGTTATGTGTGTGGGGTGGGGGTTAGGTGGGACAATGTTTGTTAAAATTCTTAATAAAAGTGTCAATGTTTAAATATAATTTGTGACAATTTCGTTGTCAATAATTATAATATAATAGTTGGTGATTTATAAAGGCGAAAAGCGGGTAAATAATGAAATAAATGGCAATAGTAAACGCCTGATTACTAAAATAAAGCAAAACGTGTTTGTCCAATAATATACAATCGCCAACACTGACTCTCATTTTACTCATCGCAAATCACGGTCAACTTAAGTGTCATCAATGATATCCCCCCCCCCCAAACCGAGTGAGAGCTGACCAACCATAGACCATTTAAAAAACATTTTTGCCTACTATGAGATGACTCACAACTGCCAAGCCAAGCAAAACCCTGTTTTTTTCTGTTGCTTGTTTGCTAACAAAGGCTTCCTGTGACACGTTCTATGTTTAGTTGCGTTCCTTATTTCAGGTTTGAGTTATTTTGTTATGTTTTTGACATGTTGAGCCTTCTCGTCCATGAGGGGCATCCACCGGTCATCGTCGGCGTCTGCGGTTCCTCCAAGGGCATAGGCCACCTACGAGAGACCTCCAGGCATCTCTATCCTGGGCCAGCTTCTCCAGGATCTTCCATTCATGGCCAATTTTCTTGATGTCTGTCTCCAATTCTCGGCGCCAAGTGTTTCTTGGACGGCCTCTTTTCCGCTTACCCTGTGGGTTCCATTTCAGGGCTTGCTTTGTTGTGTTAGAAGCAGGTTTTCTTAGTGTATGACCAATCCACCTCCACCGCTTCTGGAGAATCTTCCTGGTTGCTGATTTTGTCTGGCCAGTGAATTCTGAGAATCCTTCTTAGACAGTTGTTGATGAAGGACTGGATTCTGGTCAGGTTTACGGCCGTTGTTCTCCATGTCTCGGCTCCATATAGCAGCACAGGTTTTACCATAGCGTTAAAAATCCTTACTTTTAACTTGCTGCCTAAGTTGTTAGAGACCCAAACATTCTTGAGTTGTTGGAAGGCTGCTCTTGCTTTTCCTATCCTTATTCTGACGTCCTTATTTTGTTATGCTCATTCCCTATTTTGCTAACCTGATTGCAGTCTCTCCTCCCATGTTACGAGTTTCTGGGACCAGGCTGCAATGTAGGCAGGTCAGGTCCCTGTTATTATCTAGCCGATTGAAGTATGTGTTGTTAGGGCAATGCTCGTTAGGCAATTGGGACACCAGACTCTCCAGCCGGCGACCCAGCTTCCAGCAAGAACTCTCTTGGCCGAAACGCTCTTCTTTTATAATCGTGTCTTTATATTTCAAGCTTCCACATATATTGTTCCACCATTTCCTGATTTTTTTCCCCCTTGATTCCGCTACTCGCATGTTTATAGTGCTATTCTTCAGTTTATAATATTATATTTTAAATCAAATTAATTTTTTTCCAGGGATTAAGAAAATCTCTTTTCCCATTTTGCCAAGCATTAGGAAAAGCCAGGGAAATGAGAAACCCTAGTCCAAATGCATGCTGAGTCTGGCACTCATGCCGTAGGTTGCCGACTTGTGAACTAGCGGAATATCACAACGTTTCTTTGATTAAAGAATAACTAATTTATTTTATATTTTATTTCATTTGTCTCATGAATATTTGTCTCAAAGCTTCTGTTCCTCCCATGGAAGTAAGCCATAGGAAAGATCAAACTAAGTATAACAAAAAGTATAACTAGTTTTTTTAACAAATCAATGGTTTAATTGACACATGTAGAATTATTCTTGTCCTTAGGACAACAATACAAGTTCATCTGCCTTAAGTATAATAACTAAGAAAACATTAAACATCAATAAGTTCAAATTCATTACAAAACATAAACAATGCCCTTGTCAGTACTCAAAGGATTACATAAACAAAATTCTAATTGAACACAAAAGGAACACTTCTCCATTGTAAGAAATCTCAACACAAACCAGCAGTCATAAATGTTAAGTGAGTGAATCAACTTGGCATTCATCAAATCCATTCAAGTTCACTGCTGAATTAAAATCTTGAGTAAATTGTTAAATGTTAATAATACCCCTAGCCTATCACTTCATCCCACATTTTCCTAATACCTCAAAAGTTACCAGTAATGACATGCTATGCTTTGCACCATTTATATGCGTTTTCAAACATTCGAATCCAAGGTGAAAATTTCTTGGTGCCCTTCAACTCTAGTGGCATCCATGGGCATTGCCAGGACAAGACACATCGTTCAGGATGGGGCATAATGGCCAGGTGGCGGCCATCAGAGGAGCACACGCCGGCTATTCCGTTAGATGAACCATTTGGATTTAGTGGATATACCTCAGTGGGCAAGCCATCATCATCGACAAACCTGACAGGCACCAAATTGTTGGACTCGATATCAACTTGGAGTTCTGGTCTTCTAAACACCATTCGACCTGAAATTAAAATTAAATTATAAGTTGTACCTGTATACTTTTTTTTTTATAAAAACCTGGATTAGTCTTATCTGCAATTCAAAAGCATAATTTTGTATATGCTGAGTTGAGTGAGCAAATCGAATTTACTCGAGCCAAAAAAAAAAGAAAAAAAGGGGCCAACTCATTTTCTCATGACACATGGAATGAAAAGTAAAATTTTGTAGTTTAGACAAATTAAATGTACACAAAATTTTAGTATTTTTGCCTTGCAAGTCTTGAACATTTAATTTTGCTGTACATTTAAAATTAAATTAAAAAAAAAAAGATTGGGTACGGTACCCATCTAGCCAAAGATAATACAGAAACACTGTTGAACCAAATACATACTTCAATTAATACGGAAACACTGTTGAACCAAATACATACTTCAATTAATACGGAAACACTGTTGAACCAAATACATACTTCAATTAATACGGAAACACTGTTGAACCAAATACATACTTCAATTAATACGGAAACACTGTTGAACCAAATACATACTTCAATTAATACGGAAACACTGTTGAACCAAATACATACTTCAATTAATACGGAAACACTGTTGAACCAAATACATACTTCAATTAATGCAACACTTATAAAGCACAGAAATTTACCATATGTCCTCAACATTATTGTGCAACTTATAAATGAGGGAAGTTAACCAAAATTTGTGACATGTAAACTTATGAATAAGACATCAAGAATCACAGATGTGTTTGATCAAGCTAGCATACTCCAGATTAGGTGAAGCTGGCACCTGACATATATGTCATACCCATACATACTCAAGGCAGTCAAACGTTTATACACATTCACAAGCCAGACCAACAAACATAGCAATCAGAATAACACATAACAGACAGATAAACTCATACATGACACTCACATGGCAGACAGACTCATTGCAGAGAAGTACACACAGTAGTGAGACAGACTATTGAAAGACACATGGCAGAACAGTGCACACAGCAGAGTGACTCAAACACAAGGCACAGACACATACAAGACGGACACCATAAATCTACCCTAGCTGCAGGCCAAAATTATTGTGATAGTCGATAGGTTAATACCAAAATAATAATGATAATAATAAAGTTCATTTCAACACGCTTCATCCCTAATGTTTCTGCACAGCTCACCTTCTCCATGTGCCACCCACATCCCCCAGACTGTTCCTTCCATCCCTTGCAGCATGATGGCTGGTGACTTCTCTATCTTCACTGTACTGAACCTGGACTCGTAACGGCCAGAATTGTTGTGGTCTAAGAGCAGTCCCTGGGAACACTCATCTGAAACTGTTATAAAAAAATTTAATGTAAATTTGAATTGCTTCTGACCTTAAACTTAATAATAATAACCAGCTGATCTGACATACAGCATATGTATTTTTAAATAATTAATTTTTTATTTATATTGCTCATCTAAAAAAATAATTCACTTTCAATATTCCTGCTCTGAGACTTCATCCTTTGATAAATCTGGACAGTTGTGTAAGTTATGGTGGTAGGTAGTCACAAGAAAATACCTTTTACTTTTTTTAAATTTTTTTAAACTTCAATTTTAAGCTGCAATGGTGAAATAACTTTTAACAAATTTTAAAATCTATTTACATATGCTCCATCTAAAAAATTTAACAAAATTGCTCTATCACTTTCTCAGAGAAATATTAAGCATAGCACAAGACCAAGCTGTGTGTGAAATTACAGCTCTCTGGGAGCTTCGAACAAATCTAAGTGTAAAAACATCACAAGCCTGTCAAGTGGAATAAAAGAAGTTCGAAAGGTCCCTTCGTTTCCAGGTGGGTTAGTGAAGACTCGCACAGGGCCGTTACATAATTATTTTCACACTGGTAATATTTGAGTCATTTATGATTCAGCACATGACACTGGTATATGGGTGAGATTATTTAGTTAAGAAGAGACTCTCGCTGAAACTATATAACTATCTGTTATGACGTCTACATTTTTGTAAAACAGGGCGGTCGGCCCGTGGACGCCGCATACTTATTTTAGTTTGGCTTGGTTCCAAAGTCACGTTTTTTGTTTCTAAACTAGATTCCAGTAAGTTGAGTAGGTCTAATTCAAGCAGACCTAATAAGATTATTTTTAAAAAATGTATTCTTTTAATTCCTTCCTTTTAATTCACAGTATTATCATCCAATCCATGTTTACCAAGCCAAACCATGACAACCACAAATGATATTAAATTAAAACCTATCCATTTGCTCTTTCCTCTCCAAAAGTAAACAGTTGTTTCCTACGTGGTTGTACCCGCTACAAGCATAATTTAATGAAATTTAAAAAGATGAATACCCTCAGTGATAGAAACTTTTGGTTATTTAAATCCACCTCTTGAATAAACAAGGCTAAAAAAAAAACTCCCACAAAGTTTTCTGCATAATAATTTGCTTTAAAAAAAAAAAATCACCTTCAGCATCTGGTGCCACCCAACCCAGTAGTGCCATCAGCTGACATCCGTTACACACACCAAAACTGAAGGTATCTGGCCGAGATCTGAACGCAGAGAGCTCTTCACTGACAGTCTTGTTGAACTTGGCTGTTGCTGCCCAGCCTGTGATGATTAGAAGAAGTTTTACCCTCAAGCCAACACATTCAACACTTACAGAGTCATGGTTGTTTCCATTCAGAAGCAAAATAGCTTTGTATGGTGTGCAAGAAAATAGCAATCAAAATTTTTTTAAAATTATAAATTCAAAATAGGTGTTATTTTTTTTCTCCCTTAACTTATTCACAAATATTTGAACACTAGTTAAGTGTATTCTTCCCTGGGTTGACCAGTGAAATAAAAACTCATATTTCAAATTTAAAACACACTAAGCTTCTTGTCACCTAGAAGTGTAAGTAAACAGATTGCCGTTACCTTTGGCCGACCCACAGACATCAGCATAGCTGAAGCCACCAACAAATGCCACCCCTTTGAAGGCAGCCAGTGAAATGTTCTCCTTGATCAGGTCCTCCATGGTGACATCCCAAGCATCAAATCCCACCAGTGAGAAAGCTGCAGCCATTTCTCTGTCACCATTGCTGCCTTCTTCTCGTAGGATGGCCACTTTTGGATTGCACACTGAGACATAGAAATTTTAAACATATATTAAAAAGGGCTTGGTCCATTAATGTGGGATAAGTAAATTCAATCCACTCGGGTAGATCACAGACACCTAAGATCAGCTCAATCATGGCGAATACTTTCTCTTAAGGTTAAGACTGAAAGAGATAAAAATTATTTTGTTCCCCAGTCTGTACGAATTTACCAGCGTGCTCCTCAGTGATTACCAAATCTAAATGCTTACTAGCTAAGTCATTATTGTCACTAATGTTGTACGGTACTTTTATGGCTGATTTCTATGCTGGAGAAATACTTAAAATTTCTTCTAGAGAAATATTTAAGATTTCTTATGTCTAAATTGTGTTTATATTTTATAATTGTAATATGTTGTCTTGATTGTTCTTATTTTTGTGCTGAAGATGAATATGTACAATGTAATAAAAAAACATTTCCATTTATTTGGATCAGTAAAGAATCTTTTCTTATCTAAGATTACATAATCTTATAATCTTCATGTTTGCATTGCAATAAAATCTATTTCTCACCAAGAGATCTGTGAACAACTAGCAGATCAGGATCAAAGTTCAGAACGTAGGTCGGCTCCCTTCTGAGTCTGAGTCCTTGCTGTTCTTGTTTGACACAGTTAGGGTTCGACTGCCTCTTCTCTAAAACAAAGCTGGTTTCCTCCCACATGTCTCTCAGCTCAAACATGCTGGACTCCAAAACCAAAGAACCATTGACCGATACAACGATCTGAAGTAACAAGAGATTCATTATGATCCGTTAGAATTGTGGATTGAAATACATTTCAAGTCAAGGTGAATGATATAAGAAATGGATAAGGTGTAATTAGATAAAGAGCATTCCAACAATTAGATCCATAGCACTACATTGATACTGGTAAAAAAAATTCCTGGTAAAAAAAATTCCAAAGGTTGATAATGTGAGGGGTTTAAGTTTGGTCAAACATCAATTATATGTTATATATATATATGGGAAATAAAACGTAATCCATTTATTAAATGTGTTTTTTCAGTTCAATGACAAAAATTTAGTTTTACACAACACCAATATGTATTCAAGTGAGCTCACCTGTGGGGTCGTCTCCCTATCTGACCTCAAAGATTTTCCCAAAAGAACATGTTGTACATTATCCTTTTTCAGGGCAGCCACAATATCTTCCAGATTGCTCTTGGAGACTTCAAGGACAACCCCCACCTCCTCAGCAAACAAAACGTTCATTGTTGGAGCTGGAGATTAGCAGAGTTGTAACAAATGTTGGACACATATATCCAAGTCAACATAAGCTAAAATGTCATTTTGATAAACATAAAATACATTACTTTAGATAAATCTTTTGAAAACTATGTTTTTATTTTTTTTTTAAATCCCCCGTTGTCACCCAGAGTGGTGGAATGTTGATCTCTTTTAGATCAAATATCATTAGTATTGAAATTTCTTTAAATGCCTATTACCATGGAGTTGGAGACCAAATAGTTCATGGAGAAGGCACGTTACCAAAGAGTCTGGAGTGATGGAAATAATTTGGACAGATATTCAGATTGTGAAAAGAGATCCTTCTCAAATGGTGCTCCTGGTGTTATGAACTGATTTTACAGACTGGTACAGGTGCTACAGGTGTTATGAACTGATCCTGACAAGCGCTACAGGTGTCATGAACTGATCCTACTGACAGAAGCTACAAGTTTTATCAACTGATAGTATTGACAGGTGCTACACGTTTTATGAACTTATTCCACTGACAGGTGCTCCAGGTGTTATGAACTGAATGTACTGACAGGTGCTCCAGGTGTTATGAACTGAATGTACTGACAGGTGCTCCAGGTGTTATGAACTGTGTTATGAACTGAATGTACTGACAGGTGCTCCAGGTGTCATGAACTGAGTGTACTGATAGGTGCTAGAAACTGGTCCTACTGACAGAAGCTTCAAGTATTATGAACTGATAGTACTGACAGGTGCTACAGGTGTCATGAACTGATCCTATTGACAGGTGCTACAAGCTGGTCCTACAGACAGAAGCTACAAGTGTTATGAACTGATAGTACTGATAGGGTTGAACTGTTTACGTAGGGCCAGTTATGTGATTGGTCAATGTGTAAATGTCAGTAAACAACGTCAGGCTACTGTAGTTAGTGAATCATTGTGGTGTGAAAAGTGCAGGTCCTCGTTGGTCAGTGTGTCCAGAGTCGAGTGACAGGCAGGTAAAGCATACATCAGACAGCGTTGTTCCCCTAGGCAACAATAAAGACAATCAAACCACCCTGCAGTAGACTTATCAACTGCGGGGAGGTTTTGTTACATTGTGAGCCCACCCCGAGAAGAAAGCATGCTTCGTTGGGATGACGATGAAACAACAAAAATGTCATCTTTTTTTCATAATATTTCGGAAGTGTTCCGTCAGTAACCGCCAGTTTCCATATTTTTAGAATCTGGAATTTAAAAAATGCTTTACTCTGTAATTCTGTATATGTGATAGAGTTAAAGATGGCTCATAAATTGGATATCAGCCATTTGTTGGCACCTATTAATGAAAGTTTAACCATTTTATGATTTTTAGATACTGTCGTACATGAATATTCACTAGTAATCGTTGGGCATTGAATATTAAGTTTTATTGTGTGCTGTGTGTGATTTGTGAAAGGTTTCGCTTTAAACTCCTCGTTATAGCGATCTGCGTTATACATGTGTTTGATTTATTGTACAGTGTTATATATATATATATATATATATATATTTCTGGATTGAAGTTTACATTGCTAATAGAACAGGACTTATGTTCACCTAGGTATGATTATGTTAAATGAGCGTATAAAAGAATTTGATGTCTGCGTTATACATGTGTTTGATTTATTGTACAGTGTTATATATATATATATATATATATATATATATATTTCTGGATTGAAGTTTACATTGCTAATAGAACAGGACTTATGTTCACCTAGGTATGATTATGTTAAATGAGCGTATAAAAGAATTTGATGAAAGAAACCAATCTAATACGAATCAGTGACATAAACCGAGTTCGGTTATATGTCCCAGAGAAATATCTAGCTATAATTATATAAAGAAAAAACTACCCTGTCTCTGCATCTTTAGAATCTCAAATTCAAAACCCAACAATTATTACAATTATTAACTTCTTTCAATTTGGCTCAAGTTGTAATCTCAGAAACAATTAGTTACCGGTATGTAAATTTTAAATATTTTCCTCACAAAAACATAGCCCAGGAGCTTTTTAACTAATAAAAAATTAATGCTGGCTATACTAAAAAATCTACATTGTTATAAAAAAACAACGCACCCTATTGGCAAACCCCTAACTATCATATAAAAAACAAAAGGCCAGGGACCCATTTTAAACAAGATGGCAGCGGCTTGCTATTTCTAGATCCAGCCCAGGGACGCTCGTCAATTTTGAAACATAAAATGTCCTACCTTTATCCCATGGCACAACCAAGTTATACGGGTTGCGCACAGTCTAGACCCAAGTAAAAAAAAACACCTAAACTTTGGTGTCTCTCTTGAGATATATCAGGCTCAAGGACTGAAGCCTCGTGGACTGGGCATCAGTCTTGAGATATATCAGGCTCAAGGACTGAAGCCTCGTGGACTGGGCATCAGTCTTGAGATATACCAGGCTCAAGGACTGAAGCCTCGTGGACTGGGCATCAGCCCAAGATCACCCCTTTGCAAACAAATGAGATTCTCAACCTCGTTCATGTAGCACCCTTTTTCACGACACTGACCTTGGCTGTTTGTGATGGGCACGTCAACGACCAGGCCGCAGTTGCCAGCAAATGCCATCTCCAGCAAACAGGTGAGCAGGCCACCGTCACTGATGTCATGACCAGCGGTCAGCTTTTTATCTTTGGGATAAAACACATCAAACCATTAGACATCACATACATTGGAAACTTTGAGAAGGCTTTTTAAGTTCAACAAAAATATAATTAAAATAAATTAAAGAGCTAACAATCGTATTGAAGAGGATTTAATTTATTAACTATATTAAATATTAGTACACTGTTATGTTGTGTCCTTTTTTTTCAGGTTTTCCCCATTCTTTGTTTAGCTCATTTCCTTAATCATTAGTAATAGGCTTTCTTTGCAAGTTATTCCACCTCCACCAAGGTACATTTAAAAATTGTACAAAATATTTAAAGCCAAATTTTTCATATGTGATATGTCATATTATTTGTTCGAAAATATTGAACTACGTGTGAATTAATATCAGTTATTCGAATTCATTTTTCATAAACATGAGGGCACATACAAAAAAAGTCCAAGGGGTGTATTTTATTTAAAAAGGAACAAAATATTCTGAAAACATATTTTTACTAAAAATTGTTGAATGAAATTTGATAACGTTGTGTGTGTGGGGGAAGTCTCATGGGTCTGTTTTGTACAGCTCATTGCTTATATAAAAACCAACTCAATCAATCTATCTGTTTCATTTCTTTCTTTTAGAAATATTTATAAATAACCATCACACACAGCTAGCATGCAATCACAAGAATCCACACAATGATCCAGGCGTCACACACAACTATCCCACTTAATGACCCACACATCCACGCAAAGGCATTCACACCTTATCCAGGCAACACACACAACTATGACACATTTACTCTTGCATCCACACATCTAAGCACAGGCATCCACACATCCAACCACAAGCATCCACACACCCAAGCACAGGCATCTACACATCCAACCACAAGCATCCACACACCCAAGCACAGGCACCCATAAATAATTATCCAGGCTTCTCACACACTCAAGCAATCATGAATCCATGCACAAGGTTTTTTTATGTGCATAAGATTGGAACCAGTAACAAGATCTTACCTCTGATAAGGCCCTGAACTGCATTAAATGTTTGAACCAAGCTCTCAGCTGTAACATCTGGCACCTGGTCACCCAACTGCTTGAAACACTGCGCCAGAGCACTGCCCCCAAGTCTCCACTGGTCCAGTCCACCAACAGGCAGGTAGACTAACACACCTGGAGTTAGAGTAGAAGCAGTTGGTTTTATCACCCACAAGTCATAAATATTTTTCTCTTGTACAAATTTTTTTTTTTTATATTGCTTATTTCGAACTCTAGTTACTACCCAAATTGTTCGATTTCTTACAGAACCCGGAACATTACTTTACTAATTATAAGAGTGTTGGATTGCGATAAAGATTTCAAGTAGATTAACTAGACACTGTAAATAAAACAAAATAGGTTCAGCTTTAATAAATGATGCATACAGAATACAAATGTAAACATTTCGGCAAATGCATTCATCAGTACAAAAAAACATTCGTTTAAGTATAAAATAATAAATTAAATTTACATAATAAATATATATATACACGTTATCCTACCTAAAAAATGAGAGAAATGAAAAAGAGTGAGCACAAGTCCCTGACAAAAACAACGTTCAGAAGTGTCAACTCCTAATTAATTACTATAATTCAGAGGCGGTGGGGTACATCAAACAATGTAGGGCTATAGATAGTTCACAAACATTATCCTCATCAAGTAAATAGTACTGTTGAAGGAAGACATGCATATCAAATTAAAGACTAACCTTCTCCATCAGGACATTTGAGATCTGGCGTGACAGTGAGCCTTATGTCAGGACATCCAACATATGTAGAGATGACCAGCGTGCCTGGAGTATCATTTTTAACAAAAAATTGTCTTTTTCAGAATTTGAACAAAAAAATGTTCAGCTTAAGAAATATTATAAAACTTATATAGGTTTAAGATAACGATAACAAAAAACCAGGTTTGTCAAATCAACATATTTCCATGCCTTGACCTGGTTATTACCTAGACACTCCCACAACCAATTTTCATCATTTTAATATAACACAAAATTTAATAGTTGACTGAGAAGTAGGTCAAGAGATTGTACGCCACTATATAAAATTAAAATACATTACTTTTTTCATACCCCATGTTCAATAATAAAAAACAAAATTGTAATACTCTAAATGCACTAATGAATAATAGATTGTCTCAAAAGCTAATGAAAATGTAGATTTAAAATAAAGTTCTTAGCTCAGACTGACAAACTTCTAAATAAATTTTTATGATGTACTGAAGAGTAAACGACATATTTAAACAGTTGTGTCATAATGACCGTAGAATCCAACTGAAAAAAATATAGGTAGGTCACCTGGAGCTTTTATGACCTCACTGTCCACTCTTGCCGCCATGCTGAGAGAATCCTTCCCCCCATCCACAGCCACGCCCGCTTGCTTCATGAACTCACACATGGCCACGCACGCATCCAGGAGGGCGGCACCTTCTCCCTCCAGCTTGGCTGCCCACATCCAGTTGCCACTGCACTTGACATCCTAGAACACATACAACCAAATCATAAGTAAGTTAAATAGTTATAATTTTTTTTTAAATAGTTAATTGCATATTTAGAGCTTAACCCCACCCCCCGCCCACCCAAAAGTTTTGAAAACTACATTATCAGGTTCGAGTGATATAGGTCACACTCTTATAAATGCCACTCATTTTTATGAGATTGTGGGAAATTTCTTTAGGACTTTTTATTAAATTATGTCACTCTTTGAAATTTGTTGCACACTCTTCTTGGTTCCCTAAATTTATACACAGCACAGTAAAAAATCAAAGAATGGAAGTAATCAATTTTTTTTCAGTAACATGGTACCATGCCTTGGTGACTGCAAAATACAATTAGCCACACAGAAATATTTATGTTAAATATCAAGCAATTAGTGTGCATCTATATGAAACAAAGTACATAGTTTTATATTTTGATGGCGATTCTAAGAAAATTTCAAATGTGTACAGTACCTTAATATCTGTAATGTTGGCAAACATCAGGTTAGTTAGAGCCTCAGCCACAGACAGACGAGCCCCAGCTGCAGGGTCAAGCAAGCCTTTGATTGGCTGTTCACCAATAGATGTAGCTGCTCCCACCTGGAAATTTCGTCACATTAATGATTGAAATATTTTACTCCTCTTTGCAAGTCTTCGACAGTCATCATGCAATTAAGTCTTTTAACAACTAAATCTGTCATGGTGTCCCTGCTAACCACTCATCAATTACACAGAAATGCTATGAGAGATAATTCACTAAATTATTACAGAATATGAAAAAACAACAACAAATACTTACAGTGTCAAAGTGCGACAAAGCAACTACAGCCACATCAGCTAATGGTGTATGCAAGGGTCCCACACACTGCTGCTGGGCAATGAGACCAGTCACAGATCTGTCTACCTAAAAAAAATTTAAAAGAAAATTTGTAGCTACATTTTTTCAAAGGAGTACCTAAAGTCTTCTAATAAACTATAATATCCCTTAGCCTCTGACTTTAATATATTGAAGTGCAGAATTTCCATGTTGCAGCAATGAACTCAGCCACTGACCTTGTTTGTGAGATATCTTTTACTGGCAACTGATGGCAGACGCAGCACCCTGCTGAGTGCCTCTGGAACTGTCAGAGCTTCTGGTAAAACAAGGGGTTGAAACTGCGCTGCGATCCTCTTCATCTCAAACACCTTTAAAAATAATGGCAAGAACAAAGTTTGAATATTGAAACCGACACTTATTTGCAAAATTCCGTCACATAAAATGAGTTCAATTATTTAATGCTACTTTTTGGGGGATGTAGACATTATTTTTAAAATGTGAAAAAAAAAACAACAACAAAAATTTAAGATCTGGTCAGTGATATTTGAATTTCCTTCTTTCATTTTAGCTCTCTCAGTTTCTCAAACCATCCTTCACTTTTTCCCTCTTTTCTATCTTTTTCCATTCTCTCCAACATCATATACTGCATTTATTCACTAATAAAAATAAATAGAGGCGCAAAATTTTCAAATTGACCCACACCATACTACACAATCAAAATACTTCACCTGGCAAACCAAGGGCTGCCAACTAAGTGTCTCTTGAATTTGTATTGTAAATAAATATTCAATTAAGTCTACTTCAAACATAATTAAAACTTATGGTAGGAGACCTGTTTTTTTACAACAACAAATTGAGTCACATAAGCAAGAATTTAGCCAATTAATCAACTAAATTGATTAACGGAAAACTTAAATTTTATGCATAATGTATGATTATTCAAAGACAAAGGCTAGACATTTACTGTTAAGGGATAGTCCAAACTTTTATGAACTTTTAATATAGATTTTATAACAAGGGGATAAAGAGCAAGGGGATAAAGAGCACGGTGTTGTGAACTAGATTGTTGTGAATGTTTGGTAGGGGGAGTTGTTGATCGTGAGAGTGTTTTGTGAGTTGTTGACCGTGAGGTTAGAGCATGGAGTTGGTTCGTGGTGTTGAACTTTAGTGCATGCAGAGAGTTTTGTTGAAATATAAAAGGGCGGTGTGTTAGTTAGTTGATAGTGAGAGTTGAGCCGAGAGGAGATGAGCCGAGAGTCGAGTGACAGAGGAGAGTTGTATTATATTCACGGACGAGAGATGTGTCATAGAGAGATATTGTGATGAATACCTGTGGTAGTGCGAGGCTACTTCATCCTAATTTATAAGGATTTGATCATGTGCTTCGAAAGGATTAGTGACTCTTGCTAGTACTGCTGTTGGCATGTACTCTTCATGAACTTTGTTGTGTGATTGGTGATCCATAGCTGTCAGCCCAGTAGGGCGTACCAAGACATACTTGAGCGATGGTATGACGTAATCCCCTACAAGGGTACGTCGTAACAATAGTATTAATCATAGACGTAACATTTGAAGGAGTACTAGACCAAATAAAGAAGCCCGTAACATTTGGAGGGGTACTAGACAACGAAAGAAGGCCGTAACACACAGAGGCAAGGTAAATAGATTGAATTAAAGGGATAAAATTATTACTTTTCTGGGCATTGAACCTAGAATAAATTCCAGTTCAAGATCAACTGGTTTCCTGCCACTGTCCCCAACTCCAGTGTTAAAATCTTCCAGTTCAATCTGAAATACAGAATAGGTTGGTTTAATATAAACACTTTCTGCGTGTTGATACGGGTACCATAATACTTTTAATGAGAATAAACACTTTAACAAGTTTGAAGTCGATAACAGATAAAAAAAATGCTATCATACCACCAAACAAATTTTTTGCCAAGAGATAAGTGTTAATACCTTCCCAAGAGATAAGTGTTAATACCTTCCCAAGAGATAAGTGTTAATACCTTCCCAAGAGATAAGTGTTAATACCTTCCCAAGAGATAAGTGTTAATACCTTCCCAAGAGATAAGTGTTAATACCTTCCCAAGAGATAAGTGTTAATACCTTCCCAAGAGATAAGTGTTAATACCTTCCCAAGAGATAAGTGTTAATACCTTCCCAAGAGATAAGTGTTAATACCTTCCCAAGAGATAAGTGTTAATACCTTCCCAAGAGATAAGTGTTAATACCTTCCCAAGAGATAAGTGTTAATACCTTCCCAAGAGATAAGTGTTAATACCTTCCCAGTTCCGGTGATGGTCCCCACACAAGACACAGGGCACCTCTCCCGGCTTCCTATTGACTTGATCAAGGGCAGGTCACTGTGCTTAACCAGCAGGGCATTGCTTTCCTGATACTCTGCTCCCCAGAGCTCCATGACACTTATGGTGGGGTCTCCCAGCTGAAAGTCCTTGGCTCTGATGATGGCTCCAGCTGGCTCAACTAGCTCTTTCAGCACATTGCCTACGATGGATAGGGGTATCAATGAAACATCACCAATAAAAGATCAGTAAACTATTCCCTACCTCACCATAAAGTAAATCTTAATTTTTAAAAGAAAACAACTAAAACTAACTTTACATTTAGGTTTGGTAAATTTTTAGTAAATACCAGTATATATTTGGTCATATATTTATGAGTATATATATTTTGTTTTTAAATTTATATATAATATACATGTAAATATTTGGACTTTCTCCTTTTCAAAATTATAAAAGCCATAAAAGAATTTTCAATGTCACTTTCAACGGGCAAAAACCTGTTTTGATCAACAAATAAAAAATATCTTTTATTACAGACGTTTTCTTATTGAAAAATGCTTTTTGAAAATCTTTAAACAGATTTGTTACAGCATTTGACAAGAAACAGAACACGTTTAAAAAAACAAAAAAACTTACAAGACATGAGGAACTCATAGAGAGCCACTTACCATTACCACCAGCTCCCTGGTCATGGATGCTTCTGATGGGATTAGTCAATCCCCTCTCAACACAGGCACGGATCACCCTGTTCATCTTCTGCTCCATCTCGGCATCCCCACGCTGGACGGCACTGAAGTCTAGCTCTGCCTTGTTGTCTCCCTGCACCTGCACGGAGGAAGCTGCTCCTCCGCCAAGACCGATTCGGTAAACTGGGCCTCCCACTTTCACCACTTCCATTCCTATGGAGAACACAAAAAATAAACATGACAAAGTGTGCAGGCTGTCAAAGTATTTAATAAATAGCACATCACAATCTGTTCAGCTTCGCAAGACGTCAGTACAGTTTTGATGAATTGTGCTTTATAACTCACAGCTAAAATGAATACAAAGAAATTATTTCCTCCAAATATGGTTTCCTTAACTTCTTATTTAAAGTCTGCTAATATTATGACATCAAATGTGTTACTTCATTTTTGTTTACCAAATGATCACAGTGAAATTAAAATTTAGATAATTAAAGCTTATACAATTCAACGAAAATGAAAGTTCTCAGTGCATAAGAGAATTCATCATTAATTTCCGATTATTGCATCTTTGTGATCTCAGTCTAGCCTACCTTTTTCGGGACCATCTTTAGTGACATGCTCCGACTCCAACATGCCAATGCCACCGCTGAACATGATGGGCTTGATGTACTCTCTTCTTTCACCATTCACGCTAAATATTCCGCATGACCTAGCAAAACCAGCAATGACAGGTTCGCCAAATTTATTGCCATAATCAGATGCCCCATTGCTTGCCTCTACGGCGATCATGACAGGAAGTGCAAAGTTGGAAGGGTATTTGTCATCATCATTCTCCCAGGGAAGGTTGTAGCCTGAATATGAAATTTAAAATATTTTCCTTATCATCTTTAAACAAGGAATGTGGCCTTTCTCTTACTTGGAGCTATTTAAAATTCTTGAATGTAGTGGCTAAGAAGTGTTAAAAGTTAAAATCAACTCCAACCAATGCCGCAAAGATTTTAACACCATCCATTGGCCAATGATCCTTATTACTCTTTGTATGAAATAATGATAATTTACATTCCCCAAGAGGAGGCATCTAAGCTAATGACACACAAAGATTATGCCAACCTTCAATGTTAAGATTGCCAAATGAGTATCCAGCAGTGCCAGCAATAACATAGGCACCCCTACCAGTAGCCTGGACATCTCGAATTCTGCCACCTGTACCAGTCGTGGCCCCAGGAAAAGGTGCAACTCCTAAACAGTTAAGTAAAATGGGTTATTCCAAGAGGCTTAACCCATCCTTACGGACCTTTATAAAATAAGTGCCGTACAAATATAAGTTTTAAAAGATAAATTTATAACCAAACAAATTATATATTTTATAAGTCGATTGGCCCAGATTTATGTGAGCAACATGGCCCATTAAAAAAAAACCTGTTGGAAAGTTGTGTGTTTCAGCTGTGAAGATTATGTGCCTTGACTTTTCTTTCACAGCTAATTTGCCAGGACCAATGGCATTTTCTGCAACTACTGCCTTCACTGGAAACCCTTTGATGGCACTGTCAAAAAAAAATAAATCAATTAAAAGAATTTGATAGTTAGAAGAAATATTTAATAATAAATTTATATTTATTAAAATTAACTTGCACTCATTCCAAGATTTAAAAAATTCACTAAAAAACTATCATACTATAAGATGATGGGTTAAAAAAAAATGTCAAATTAAATTTACTGGAATTAAACAAAACATGACAGAAAAATGTTATAAGCTGATATGAATGAAGTTTATGGTTTAGGGTCAAGCAGACACAGAAGGCTGATCACCGACTGGACACAACATTTACCTGCTGTTGTCATTGAACTTGATGACATTGTTGTCATTGCTGGATGTCTGAGTGTCCATGATCATTGAAAATAATGACTCTGGCCATTCTTTTCCATCTACAACAAGACGGCCCTTGAAAAACCAATGTCGGCTGTGTTCACTATTACAAAAAAATTAATTATTTAAATTTTTAAAAAAAAACATGATAATTTTTTAAAGTCAGATTTACATTATTAGAAGATTACAACATTTTAATTCATCATCACCTTTAATAAAAAATAAATCAACTGCTGTAAGCATTTTCATTCTAATTAGATAAACCCTAAATCATGAATAATTGCAATATTAAAATAATGTTATGTAAGACATATAAAACATGCTCCTTACTTCTGTTTATAATTTTTAAAGATATTTATTTTGACTTAAGGTGACCACAAAAAAAAAAAAGGAGCCACCACAACTTTGAGAGAGTGGCTACTTTAAAATATCTGGGATCTAATATAAATAAGCAAAATGAAATAATGTCGAAGGTGAAAGAAAGAATAACAGCAGGCAACTGCTTTTACCCCAGCCTTCAAAATCTACTAGGAATGAAAAACCTCTCAAGAAGAAAAAAGAAGGCAATATACACAAGTGTTATAAGACCAGTTGTAATTTACGCAAGTGAGACTTAGTCCCTTACCAGAAAAGCAGAGCACCTGCTCATCACATGGGGGATTAAAATCCTTAGGAAAATATACGGTCTAGGGATAGAGGGAGAATCCATGTATACGGTCTAGGGATAGAGGGAGAATCCATGTATACGGTCTAGGGATAGAGGGAGAATCCATACAAACAAAGAGATATATCAATTGTTCAAAGACCCACACAAACAGTCGCAACAATTACAATTTTTTTTAAAATAGAAGCCTGAACTAGACAGGACACCTTGAGAGGATGCCGCATTGTAGAGCAGCAAAAATGAACTTCTGGCAGAAACCTAGGGGCAGACAGCTCACCGGTCAACCAAGGCTGAGATGGACAGAATTTGAAGATGGAGAAAGCAGGAGGGGGTCAGCGCATGGAGGCGGAAAGTCATGGATCGATCCGAATGTAAGGATGTGGTGGAGCAGGCCTGATATCTACATAGGCGGTAGCCCCAAATAATGATGAAGGCAAGCAACTAAACGATTCATGTTTACCTATTGGACTGGGCTAGATCAAAACATTCCACACTTGTTGGGTTGCGTTTAATCTGCTCTTGAAATAGCTTGGTATAATAGTCCAAATCCCAATCATCAAATGCTAAACCTGAAGTAGCAAACATTGAAATAGGAAGATTGGACTGATCAGATAAGATAAAAAAAATTCCCCCATCTTTGCTCAAATTTTTTATTACAAAACTCCATGCAATTTAATTAATTAATTGAGAATATAAGTTAAGGAAAATATCTCACAGCATTTGGTATATTAATTTATTCTAGTTTTAAAACAAAAACTTTACTTTTTACAATCCCAATAAACAACTGCGTTAGTGACAATAGTGATATGAATAGTGAAATGGCCAAGAATTCTAATGATGTCAAAATCCCCCTTGAATTCAGCTTGAAATCCATCCACACATAAGTTAAATTAATTATAATAGTCCAGTCAAAGGGCGGTTTACCAAGGGCTTTATTAGCCTTTTCCAGTGCTTCTCTCCCTTGCCCTAAGACATCTACCTCAAATACAGGATCAGGAATGACATCAAGGTCAAAGGTTGTCAGTGGGTGTAAATATCTGCATTCTGTCATCTGGTCATGAAGACTGTTGATAATCTGAAGATCAATATTTATTATTTCTTTACACACAGTTTGTGCAAATGTCGTTTTTTTTCTTTCAAAATTGTGATATTTCATGAAATTATCACAATATACACAATGTGTTACTTCCATGCTCAGTTAATACAGGTTTATTGTAAAATATCACCTGACTGCAAAACTACTAGGAAAGATGATAATAAATGAAGAAATGCGTGCAATCTGTGTCAAGGAAATAGCAGCATAAGTTATGTGGATGCTTGTAATAGAAAGACAAGACAATAAAGAAATTTTCAGCTAAGAGTCTTCCTCAGCAGACAGGACAAATAAAGAAATAACAAGAAATAGAAAGTATTTAAAAAATGTAAGTATTCGCCATTAATGTTAATGTCTGAAGTAGACAGATGACAAGTCCCATGTTTAGTCTATTTCTTTGTGAACCAATACAGAACAATGAAATGTTTAGTATGTAAGCCTGAACAAATAAATCTTTAATGACTCCCTTTTAAACATTGTAGTCCAAAGGATCTTCTTATTCAAATTTTGATCTATGTAAATTCAAATCGGAATAAGACATTACAATATTACCGCTTGCTCTTCCTCAGATGTGGGCAGTGTGCCATTGTTAAATGCAAGACGGTAGACAGTTGAAGCTTCAATTCGCTTGATGTCCGTAAATCCAAATGAATGGCAAATGGAAACACAATTTGTTGAGGTGGCTGTGGAGAAATTCAGGCTGAAAAAACAAACAATATTTTTCATTAACTTTTTTCAAAATTTAAGTTTCTCCACTTTGATCTATGAGCATCAAAAGTTAATCACCCAGTTTGATTTAACAGCAGAAGTTACACAAAAACCTGGACATTTTTAACACTAAAAACCTCTCTATTGTTTCATTTGTATTTTGCAGTTTGATTTCATTGAATTTCTTTTGAAGAATAAAAAATTTCTTCTTTCTTCTCAAGACACATATAAAGGAAAATTTTGAAAACCTTACTTTCGTTATCATATTTTATTCACCTACCGTGGCCCAATTTCAAATAGAAGGGATTCTGAGTTATTCTCAAGGTAAGGTTTCTGTGACAGCCTCTCTTCTTGGAAAGGTAAAGACAAAACCCATTTCAAAACAGACAATTCTTCACCTGACAGATCTGAAATTATATATTTTTCTTTTTAGATCAGCAATTTAATATACATTTTTTAGAAAAATATCATAGCATTTATTCTTGGTTAATTTCTAGACACTGCTAGCTGCTTTACCCTCAGCACTATTTTAAAAAGAAGGGGTTGCAAAAATGAAATTTAACTAAAGCTGTATGTGTTCAGAACATTATACTGAGACTCTTCTATTATTTGCAAATAAAAATTATTCATATCTAAAGAATATTTGAGTAAAATGAAATAGAGTAGAGTTATAACAATTGTGTATTGTATCTTTTTAATCTCATAACAGCATTAATAATATGTGTTCCATTCCTCTTCTAACTGATGAAGTATTATCCAAAAGTGAACAAGTATTAATTTCATTCAATTGAAATCTTAATGCAGGGGGTCCTCAAACCACGGCCTGCTGGCCGGATCCAGCATGCCAGGGATTCTTAAACCCGCCCTGTCTGGCCGCCAAGAGAGTACCTTAGTAGCAGCAACAAATATGGAACAGGGCATTGATCATTTCACTACCCGAAATGAGCCCCATACATCTCATTGAAAAACTTTAAAGTTTATGTTAATTAAAATCGCTCTCCATTTAAAATGTTCTATTGTTTTCTTGCCATTAAAAATAAGGTACATGTGGGTTTCATTTATTGATGATACTCATTAGTGTGTTCTTGCACAAGAGGCTTAATAATGCTTTGAAAGCTTGCATTATTGTTAAGTCACTATTTTATTTTGTATGGCAGCAACCATAAGTCATGATAAGTTGGTCATGATAATAAATAAAGAAACTCAAAATAATTTTCAAGTTCAATTTGTCAAAATTTACTTACCTTGTGAGTTCACTTGCACATAGAAACAGAGTTCTGTTTCCAGTCTAAATGTGGTATCTCCAATGATAGATGCAATTTTTGCATTTACGGAGTCGAGTTGGTTTGAAATTAGTCCAGGATGGCGATAAAATTTTATTAGATGTGCCATACTTCAAGTTCAAAGAAATTCTTAAATAAGAATGTTAACATTTAAAAATGCATGAGATTACAACAAAACAAGCTTTCATTTTCAGTGCATTCATGATACTAGGCTGTAGGTGGTGTGAAGTTTACAAAAAATAGAAATAGGTTGAATTAGGGCCTACAACAAATGTAACAAAGTAAATAGGCAACAGGGTGGGCAATGCAAATGTTGCATGCCTCCAGCAATAAGCCATGATGTCATTTACGTGTTTATTTAACTTAGGCTAATAGGTTTAGGGTTCAGGTTAGGTTTAGGGTGATATTTTATGGGTCATGGCAACCAAGATGGTGACCGTAGCGCGAATCGACTAAATTTACCCATAATTGATTCGTATTACCGTATTAGTTAATTTTAATGGCAATGGAAAGCTTTTTTGTTTCTCAGAATTTAGATAATGATAAATATAGTTTCCTGTCACTAACAAAAGTTACTGAACACTTCAATCTGAATCTGCGTTGAATCATGGCTAAAATAGTGTTTTTTCTGAACTAATCTTATCTGGTCACCTCATTTCTGATGCATCAACCTTGAACTTTAAATTTACGAAATGGATGCGTACACCACGGCGGTGTACCTAGCAAAACCATCGACTTTGGCCTGGGTAAACCGCGGCGGTGTAGCTAGCGAAATCGTGGGCTTTGGCCTGGGTACACCACGGCAAAAATTTACCATTCGCCTGGTTTTAAGAAAAGCCTGTAAGATAAGATCTTGAGTGGTCAAGTGGTAGAGTGGACGCTTGGCGATAGTATATTGTGAGCTCAATTCCCAGTAGGGGATCAAGTTTTTTTTCTTCCCATTTTAATTAAAATATTTTTTATTTAAATTATCATGTTCATATGTAACAGTAGTTTCCTGAGAAGTTTTTAAATACTTTATAGCAATTAAAACAATTAAAATTAAATATATGTTGTATTCAGATTATTAACTGATTATTAAGTGTTTCAACAAGTTGTGCCGGCCTTTGACTTAAAAAAAATACCAGTAATATTAGTAATATGAGTATGACATTAGAAAACAAACTGAAAGTTTCTGAAAGCGCATGTATAGTGTATGTAACATGTACCGGTATGCACTTTATCAATGATATCATATGAATATGAACCAGCTCCCCTTCCATATACGTCATAGTGAAACCTCGTCCAGTTTCAAAAAGTCCCTTAAAACTCATCTGTTTAGGTCCGCCTATGACCTGTGATGCACCCTCCTTGCCCTACCTCATTTTCTGTTTCGGGTTGATCCTGAAGTGTCAAAGTGTCCTCGTTTTATAGCCATTTTCATTGTTTCTATA